TTACTGTGTAATAAAGGTTAAATTCGTCAATTTTATTGGTCAATATATAGGTCACAGAATAAATAAATAATACTTTAAAAAATATCATGTTTTGAATCGCAAACATATTGCTCATACATATTTAGTTTTGATAGTATATATATTTTTTATTAATCAACTATATATTACAGCTATTTATCTTAAGAACATTCTCAATCACCAACCCAATAACTATCTTTTATAAAATTTAAAAAATCAATATTTCGCGTAATAAATTTTTCAACAAATCATTAATGCAATAGTTTAAATATCCCGATCACTCACAAATCTCATTGAGGTTGTTTGAGAATGCTCTAAGTCTTACGTTCATCCAATTATTCATCATAATAGCATCTAGCGTACCCAATCTTTGATAATAGACGATTGCTTTATATTCATCCTTTTCAACTCCAATTTCTTTATCATAGTAGCATCCAATGTTATATATTCCACTGGCGTGATCCATCTCTGCCGAATTTTGATAATAAGCGATTGTATTATATTTTATCGTTTTTAACTCTGATTCCTTCTTCATAACAACATCCAACGTTATATATTTCACTAGCGTGACCCATCTCTGCGGGTTTTTGATAACAAGCGATTACCTTATGTTCATCGTTTTAACACCAATTCCTTCATCATAACAACATTCAGTTCCATTAGGGTACCCCATCTCTGCCAATTTTTGACAATAAGCGATTGCCTTTTGTACTCCAATTCTTTTTTCATAACAAAATCCAGCTTATGTTTGTCGTTTTCTAATGTTATGTGTTTTGGTAGCGTGCCCATCTTTGTCCTACGTTCACACATTTCAACTTCAATCTCATTTTGGTAACATTCAACATTGAATAGTCCACTAGCATGCCACGTAACTTCTGAATAGCTTAGCCCAAAAACGTTCACAAAGCATTTAGGAAACCCATCGTGAAATGACTGAAAAAGAAGAATACGCTTTCTACTTCAGATTCCAGGTGCCGATTTTTAAAGTCAACAAACTAAAACCTACAAAAAAAAAGAAAGAGTTAGTGCTAATAAAGAAATTTTCAAGAAACAAAAAAAAAATACATTCGCCAATAAACAGTGA